CTGTGAGATCCTCTGTCACCTGTGAGACCCTCTGTCACCTGTGAGGTCATCTGTCACCTGTGAGACCCTGTCACCTGAGACCCTCTGTCACCTGTGAGACACTGTCACCTGTGAGACCCTCTGTCACCTGTGAAGTCCTGTCACCTGTGAGATCCTCTGTCACCTGTGAGATCCTCTGTCACCTGTGAGACACTGTCACCTGTGAGACCCTCTGTCACCTGTAAGACACTCTGTCACCTGTGAAGTCCTGTCACCTGTGAGATCCTCTGTCACCTGTGAGGTCCCCTATCACCTGAGACCCGTCACCTGTGAGATCCTCTGTCACCTGTGAGATCCTCTGTCACCTGTGAGATCCTCTGTCACCTGTGAGACCCTTGTCACCTATGAGAACCTGTCACCTGTGAGACGCCCTCCATCAACTGTGAGATCCTCTGTCACCTGTGAGACCCTCTGTCACCTGTGAGACTCCCTGTCACCTGTGAGACCCTTGTCACCTGTGAGACCCTTGTCACCTATGAGACCCTGTCACCTGTGAGACGCCCTCCATCAACTGTGAGATCCTCTGTCACCTGTGAGACCCTCTGTCACCTGTGAAGTCCTGTCATCTGTGAGATCCTCTGTCACCTGTGAGGTCCCCTATCACCTGTAAGGTCCTCTGTCACCTGTGAGGTCCTCTGTCACCTGTGAGATCCTCTGTCACCTGTGAGATGCCCTCTATCAACTGTGAGATCCTCTGTCACCTGTGAGATCCTCTGTCACCTGTGAGACTTCCTGTCACCTGTGAGATCCTCTGTCACCTGTGAGATCCTCTGTCACCTGTGAGATGCCCTCTATCAACTGTGAGATCCTCTGTCACCTGTGAGACCCTCTGTCACCTGTGAGGTCATCTGTCACCTGTGAGATCCTCTGTCACCTGTGAGACCCTCTGTCACCTGTGAGATCCTCTGTCACCTGTGAGACTCCCTGTCACCTGTGAGATCCTCTGTCACCTGTGAGGTCATCTGTCACCTGTGAGATCCTCTGTCACCTGTGAGACCCTCTGTACCTGTGAGATCCTCTGTCACCTGTGAGACTCCCTGTCACCTGTGAGATCCTCTGTCACCTGTGAGATCCTCTGTCGTCTGTGAGATCCTCTGTCGCCTGTGAGGTCCCCTGTCACCGTGAGGGTCTCTGTCACCTGTGAGACACTCTGTCACCTGTGAGGTCCCCTATCACCTGTAAGGTCCTCTGTCACCTATGAGATGCCCTCCATCAACTGTGAGATCCTCTGTCACCTGTGAGGTCCCCCATCACCTGTAAGGTCCTCTGTCACCTGTGAGGTCCCCTATCACCTGTGATATCCTGTCACCTGTGAGATGCCCTCCATCAACTGTGAGATCCTCTGTCACCTGTGAGATCCTCTGTCACCTGTGAGACTCCCTGTCACCTGTGAGGTCCCCTGTCACCTGTGAGGTCCCCTGTCACCTGTGAGATCCTCTGTCACCTGTGAGATGCCCTCCATCAACTGTGAGATCCTCTGTCACCTGTGAGACCCTCTGTCACCTGTGAGATCCTCTGTCACCTGTGAGACTCCCTGTCACCTGTGAGGTCCCCTGTCACCGTGAGGGTCTCTGTCACCTGTGAGAGCCTATGTCAATGTGGGGCCCTCTGTCAAAGTGGGGTCCTCTGGAGATGCAGCACTGGACTGTGGAGCCTCGGGATTCTGGAAGCCGTGGCAACCCAGCCTCTCCCCCAGGCCAGGATGGGGACGTGGGGCCCGGCTCTGCCTCACTGTGCTGCCTGCTCCATCTGTGAGATAGGGGCCCCTGATTCCCACAGGCGATGCCACGGTCTCGGGTGCCCACCTGGCTCCATGGAGCGTTTTGGGTGCTCATGCGCAGTGAGCGGTCCGGGAAGGTAAGAGACAAGGAGAACGCAGCAGGCCTGGCCCCCAGGCTTGTGGTTTTCCATCCTTAGCAGCCAGAAGAGTGGCTTTCAGGTGTGATCTTGGAAGGAGGTGAGTCAGATGTGTCACCGGATGTGCCATTCACCGCTTGCGCGGCACAGCGAGGAACAGATGCCAGCAGACGGGCTGGTGGGAAACAGGCCCTCTGCTGTGTGCAGGGTTGGGCTGGAGGGAGAGCCCAGGAGAAATGGCTGGGAAAGAGCAAGATGGCACGGGGCCAGGGGAGGAGCCAAGTCCCACTGATGGCAACCAGGAGACCTGCCGCCTTCCAGAGTCCAGGGCCCACTCCGGAAAACCCCAACTCAGGCTGCAAAGGCAATGCGCTGGAAAGCCCTGAAGAGAACAAGGGTCTCTTCCTTCTCTCCCGAGACCAGAGAGAGGACTCCTGTCTCCAGCCGGTGCCTCACACTTGGAGGGGGGCCGAGGGTCCTGGCTCAGTTCTGCCTGCCTGTTCCCAACCCATTTCCAGACCCGCTCTCAGACTAGAAGGAAAGCGGGCTGCCAGGGCTAGACCAGTGCGGGTGAAGGAGGGCCCGCGTGTGCGGGGAGCCTGCGGGAACCGGTGAAGGCCTGGAGCTGGGCCGGGAACACTCGATTCCATCAGCCATCAGCAGAGCGTTGCCACCACTCAGAGAATCTGGGTTCAGGAAAAACCACTGCTGTGGATGACAAGATCCGATGCTGAAACAAAATTTCAGACCAGTCTACTCTGCTCAGGGATGATGAGTGCCAGCGCATGCACGCGCGCATGTGTGTATGAGGATAGAAGGGGGAGGGGGAGAGAGACAGAGGAGGGAAGGGAGATCAGTTTCCTTCAGTTCGAGCCGTGGGGAGATGGGTCGTATGTGACAAGGCCAGCTGTAAAACCCGGATAGCTTGGGTTTATTTTCCTTAACTCTCCCATTAGCACACTGTTCCTTGGTGCTTTTAAAAAATTCTTGCAGTATGTGGGTTGCTCATTAAGGAGATAATTAAGTGTGAGAAGCTAAGGGGAAAGGGAGAGATCCTGACACTGGCATCGTTATGGGCGTCTCCGCTCTGCAGTCCGCTGCTGTGGCTCCTGGTCTAATGAGGCGGCCGTTTAAATGACACGCTCCAAGTGGAGTTGAAGAGCAGAGATGTGCACACAGGAAAACAAAAAGAGCCCCTCTCTTTCACCAACTAAATTAATCGCACGTACTCCTTCTTGGAGCACAATGCAGAGCTCTCCTTTCTGCACAAGCACCACGGCTCAGGAGCACGGAA